AAATGTTAAGGTAAACTTAACAAGATATGCAAAATTATATATATATATATATATATATATATATATATATATATATATATATATATATATATATATATATATATATATATATATATATATATATATATATATATATATATATATATATATATATATATATATATATATATATATATATGAACAAGTATATAAACAAGTATGAATTGAATTTGAAAAGATGGGTGGGTCTTACACTCTGGATAGAGGCCCAAGTGTATTTTGATTGATTAAATGTTTTCTTTAAGATCGAATTAGGGTTTTAAGAAATTTAAGAAAGTTTTGAAATAATTTTGAATTTTAATTTTAATTTGAAGATGACTTGATCTTAAGTAAAAGAAGAGCAAAGGTGTTGGGTCTTACGCTCTAGATAGAGGCCTATATGATTGTTTGTATCCTGTATAAAACCCAGGATGAATGAGGCTAAAAGTTTTCTATTTACAAAAGGTGTTGGATCTTATACTCAGGGAGAGGCCTAAGATTTTAAACAATTTTTGAAGAAGAGATGAGGGACTTATACTATAGCAGAGACCTTGATTTGGATTGAGAAAGTTGATGATAGGTTTAGATTTGAAGATTAAAGTTTTGAAAATATGAAGGAGATTTTAAAAATAGAAAGAGGGATGGGACTTACACTCCTGGCAGAGACCCAAATTATGGTAATTGATTGAAAAAGATAAGATGGACTTATACTATAGTAGAGACCCTGACTTATGAAGTTTGAAAAAGAATATTGGAGCTTATACTCAGGGAGAGGCCCAAGATTATTTGAAAACACAGTGATTATGAACACTGAGAGGAGAGACTTATATTATAGTAGAGGCCCTAAAAATGTTTATTTATGTACAAAGGGATGGGACTTACACTCTATTAGAGGCCTAAATGTGTTGTGAAAACAGTAATCGCACCGTGATTTTGAAAAGCGCAATGAGACTTATACTATAGCAGAGATCTAAATGATTTGTTTATTTACAGAGAGGATTGGGTCTTACACTCTAATAAAGGCTCAAATAATTGTTATGAAGTTTGAAAGATTGAATCAAAGTAAATACCCTAGTTTCATTTTTTAAGATATTTTCAAAGAAAATCAATTAAAAAATTGTATAATTATCAAATGGATCCATTAACCATGTCATGAACAATGATTAAGGTTTATAAAAATATTTTTTATTCACATGAATATTTGAAATCAATTTGGTTTAAGAAAAATCAAGAAAAGAAATTATTTTAAAATATTTAAAACAATTTAAAATAATATTTTTAAATATATTAAAAATATATCAAATAAAAAATATTTTTTTGATTTTTTTGGTGAAAAAAATATTTAAATATGTGAATGATATTTTTACAAAAAATCATTTGAAAATAATTAAAATTTAATATAGAAATTATTTTTTGAAAATAATTAAAATAATTAAAATTTTAAAAATATTCAAAAATTTGAAAAATGGCGCCAAGAACACCATCTTCTTCCTCGCGCTACCTAAATTTGCAAAATCCCTCCTATCTCACTCAATTCGTAATGAAATTGCACGATGTAAACATGAAAATTGCTCGCTTTTGAACAAGAAACACGATGGTGGTGTTTAATTTCATTTATTTTAAGTGTTGTGTAAGATATCATGTGATGAACAGATGAACCCTAACTTTGAAAAAACTAATGTGAAATCTCATACACGAGTTATAAGTAGCAATTTATTGAGGGTTAATGATCTATGAGCATCCAGAAACGTGTTGGTAACTTGAAATAACATTTATGATGCATGATTCATGGAGTATAAAAAGTTCAGAGTTGCCTTGCAAGAGGAATTCGAAACCTCAGTTGTAGGTGTTACAGAAGTATTTTAATTATCTAGAAGCTTCCCTGGACCTCAAGGAGTGTGTTGATGTGCTTGGAATGGATTAAAACCTTCTAGATTGATGGGCTCGAATCCAACTGCGACTTGCTTGGTATGAACTATGATCTTGATGAATTTGATGTTATAGATGATGTTTAAGTGTTTGGATAACTTACATATGATGTATGTGAGGTGTTTGGATCATTTGTTTGGACAGAAATGCTTTGGAATGAGAAATTTGATTTCTCACTTTGGAGTTTTGGAACTTTGAACAAAAAGAGGGAAAGTGAGAAAACAATGCTTATTGTTGTTTTGGTGTGTTTGAAATAATCATAAATGATCCCTATTTATAGGAGGACAAATTTGTTTTGGGAAAAATTGTGAATGGATGAAGGATCACTCTATTATCCAATGGACATAGTTAGGTAGCCAAAGTCTCCTCCTAGCATAACTATGCATTGACTCCCATCAATTTTGCAGGTTTGAAGTCTTCTTGTTCTTGGATATGTCTTGACTGGTTTGTGCATAATCCATGTCACCTCTATGTGTCACATTAATGCAACTTAACAAAATTGAATTTCAAGGCTTTTGTAATGATGAATTTGCACATGCTAAGCTAGATTCTTGACTCCTTGGTCCAAAGTTGAAGATATCAAGTGATTCACCAAGATTTTTTCTAATCTTGGAAGATGACGAAGCTTGCAAGATAAAAAATTTGTTGTGAAAAATCGTGTGATGCAAGTAAGTCCAAAATTTGTCTTTGAAAAACAGTTGCAGCAAGGTGAGTTTTGAGGTTCATAACTTCTTGCTCAAGTTGAATTAATGGATGTTCTTATACTTTTTGGAAAGTTGACATGATGTACTTCAACTTTGATGTTCATAGTTGGACTCGATTCATCTTGGATCATAGTGAAAAATCCCTCCATATATTTGATATTTTAACTGATTTTACCTTAAGCAGAATTTGCCCAAGTGTTGAAGTTCACTTTTTTTTTTATCACTTCATAACTTGAAATCCATGAAGTTTTTGGATATGGTTCATATTAGCAACTTTGTAGTATGTGATGAGATCTATCATTTAAGTTTTGGAACAAAAAATTTGGTTGCTTAGATCACAAGTTATGCCTTTTGGGAGTTGGGTACTTGAACACTTTTTTCTATAACTTAGTGAAAATTTTAATTTCTTCAACTTTGTCCCTTTTGCAAGTAACCTTGATTTCTTGACCAATCCTTGTTCAAATGCAACAATGGATCATATTTTCTTGTATAATGGCTTATGATGAATAAATTTGCTCAAAAAGTCAAATTTTGACTTTGTGTATCAGATGAATTTTGTGTAGGGAAACTCTAATTCCTGATTTTTTATTAATGAGTATCCCAAGGTAATTTTAAATTTATGAATTGACTTCAAGGATATATTTGAGTGTCTTGAACCATATCCCAAGGTTGGAGATCATGTTTTGGTCAAAAGTCAAAGATATGGTTTACTTTTCATCAAAACTCTAGTTTGTGGCTCAGATGGATTTGAATTCTTGCATTGTTTATGAATCAAGTTCTTTGGGTCAATCTAACCATAAGAATGGACTAATATGATGTATTTGAGATCCTTGAAACATATCTTGAGGTCTTGGATCATGTCTTGCTCCATAAGTCATCCCTGAGATTGGATTAGGTTAAAACTCTGATTTGGTGACACAGATGATCTTGAGGCTTGACCAACTTGAATGATGTAACCTTGTCCTTGTTTTTTGGTGAATGGGATCTCTTTATCTCCATGGATGATTGAGGGACTTGATAAATTGAAGATCATATCAATTCTTGATTGATCATTTGTCTGAATCCTTTGTAGGGTTTAAAAATCCTAATTGATAATCATAATGAAGCAAACAACAATCTTAACTTTTTAAAATGGGTTAGTGATGCATAAAAGTGTATGTATGAGATGCATATGATGTGGATATTTTAGGATCAAAAATTAGAATATAACATCCTTATTAAAAAATTGAAAAAAAAAAATATAATAATTCGGTTTGAAAAAATCGTCTTCTAACAATTTCGTATCGTTCAAAATATTAAATTGATATATCAAACCAATAATTTTGGTTCGATTCAATTCAGAGTAAAAAAATGTTATTTTAGAAACACAAATTTTTAGTTTTTGTCAATATAGTGATTTCATCACTCTTTTATATAGACTTACTTCTTTTAATTATTTAAACAATGGCTTAAAAGCATTCATTAGCATGTTAAAAAAAATACATTGTCATTTAATATAAGAAAAACTAGTGGTCTCTCACGGGATGATTGTGTAAATGTAATGTGGCCATTAATTTTTAATATTTTATTTTATTTGACCCCAAAAAAATACTTATTTTATTTTATTTTATTTGACCAAAAAAAGTTAATTCTTTATTCTAATTTTATATTTTTTTTACCACAAAAATTAATTCTTTATTCTAATTTGATATATTTTATTTTATTTGACCAGGAAAAAATAGTTCTTTATTTTATAATTTAAATAACTGTTTATTATTGTTAGTAGTAGTAGTATAATGGTCTCACCAGCTTTGCTTTAGGCCTAACATTTCATTTGATTGATCTTGAGAGGAAGAAACAGCACTTTTTAAAGAGAAAACTCCTTATGCACTTTTGAGGTAAAATATCTTATCATGTCAACTAATTATAACTCATTATTAGTATGATTTTTAGACTCTTGTCAAATTTACTCAATTATGTAAATTAAGTACTTAAGTTCTTTTGTCAGCTCAAGTTGCAGACTTCCAGTTGCTTGTAAGAATGCAAGAAACATATTTGATGTCAACTTCCTTTTGGAGTTGGCCGGTCTGTTTTTGCGGTAGCGGTGGCAGGACATCAAATATGCAGCAAATGCAAGGCGCACCGGCGCGGTGTGAAAGTAGTTCCAAACATATACTTATACAAATTCATTGCAAAAATGTAAAAAACGCTAAATAGGTATTGCCACAGGGCGAAAATACTTCATTTAACAACATGGCTGAGTAAACAATCTCCGAAACCAATTATACAATGTTAATATTACAACTGCAAACAGACATGAATCTTGAACTCACAATATATTCAAGTATTTGAGATGTAGCAACTACTATATCACATTTTAAAAAATCCAAGTACAGGTTGCGGCCGAATGCTGAAATATGTAGCCGGAACCAAATAAGCACAGACTACAGACACGTAAAGTTTAAACCAGACCGACGAAAAAATGTAGTACATGCATAAGCCAGTCCATAGAATAACTATGATACAACTCAAAATGGTCTTCACAGCCGGGAGGTCCGTCTCTTTTGCTTGATCAGGAAACTTACCTTGAAATTGAAAATTGTAAAGCAACTTGTCCTTAAACCGGAATCTGTCCATCAGCCATGTCGACATTTCGTCTTCGGATGTTGGGATACGTTCGATGGGAATACGGCAGATATGAATATGAACTTCAGATGGATCCACCCCAAAAACATTGTCCAAGAAAGACGGGCAGCGGTGTTTGTAGCCAATGGTAACATCGTAAACTGAAAATTTAAAGTTTACAGCATTTTATTGTTAGGATAATATGAATTCAAGATTTTTCAGAAGCTTCTATTATAGACAGAGAGGATAACCTGCAATTAGAGAGTCCCTCAACTCTTGTAAACAGGTACAAAAGCCCTTGGTTTTTGGCAGTAAAACGTTTTTCAGAACCGGTAACCCTTGTTCCGCAGCATACTTTTGACTTCGAAGGCACTTCTGTTCACTACCAGAGAGGGAAAAAAAAGATACATTGCGAAAATAATCATTAAAAGAATACACAAATCGACAAAGCTACATATGCTACATCAATTCAAACTGAGAATCGATAAACAAGCGGCTTACGTAAAATCAGTGCCCTCGGGGAAAATAGCAAGCCAGAGGGGATCTTGCGGATCCTTGAAAGTCGAAAGCATTTTCCGCATAGTCGACTCATCAGCTTCCCACTTCCTTTCCACAGGAATGAACTCCAATATATGAAACGCCCAACCGAAAATCGGAAGTTTCATCAAGCTGCTCTTAAGTACATACTTAATGTACCCAATGCATCCCTTCCGCAAGGCAAGGTCCCATAAATACATCCAATCAACCTCGGTTCTATGATTCGCAATCAGTAAGATCCGTTCTCTCGACGGAACAATATCTCCCGAGAACACAACTTTAGTCTTGTTGATTTTCTCAAATAGAAAAGGCCACAAAGTTAGCCAAGCACCAAAGAAAAACGACGTCGTTCTCCTGCTGTAACCGATGCTAAAGAATCTCACTAAAACAGAAGTAATAAAGCCAAAGAACACCAATGTTACAAATGCTGATGAAACCAACACCAGTAAACATATTAAACCCCTTACAACCTTAAAAGGAGCTAGAGCCCGATACTTTGCTCCGAATTTCGAACTTACAGGTGTAAGAACAGCCATATATGATGTTATCAAAATCAAGCACTGAAATGAAAATAACTACACTGACTCTTCAAGATTTACCTCCTCAATGGACAATATCTTCACCCTGAAAAAACATTATGGTTACAACTGAGACAACCCTAGTAATTTAAACCTCGGATCTTTAACATACACAAAACGTTTCAAATTACAACATTGGAAAAAACAACAACCCCAATACAATATAATACAATACAATGAAGTTGAGAATCATTAATTACCTTTGATGAAGGTTGTAGCATTTTCTGAGCCCCAATGAAACATTGAGATGAACAAGAGAAAGAGAAAAATGGATGCGTTTAAGGAAAAGAGTTAGGATGAACAGTGAAATAGTATTAGTAGATAGAATAAAAAAGTGAGGTGTAGATTTTAGTGGATGATCCCTCCACAACTGTTTGAAAGTTCAGGAACAAAGAGTGTACGACAATTACTAGAACCTTCTTTTGTGTTACGGAGTTTAATGTTTTTCCATTTTTCTGACTCAACAGTAGTACGGTATTTAAGGTTTGGAAAATGTTACACTTGTTGAAGTCTTTTATTTACTTTTACAATCCGTTTAAATTAGGTAATTTTCATATAAGATTAAAATGTCTTGCAACTAGAGTTTATATAATGAAAGTTTAGATTTTCTTCTTTTTTTAAGTTTTGTAAATATGACCTTATTTATGACGTGGTAGTGATGTAGTAAGGCTTACGTGGACCCGTGCTGGCTGATATGTATGTATCATTGAAATAGTAATAATTATAAATTATAATTTTATATTAAAATAATTCAATTAATATTTTTAAAATAAATACAATAAGTAAAAAATCAAAATCGGAAGTCTATAAGTTTTTCTTGTGATCTCTAAAATCATAAATTCTAAAATTAAAATGGGAGAAATCAAGAAGTTTCACCTTCATTATTATTGTATAGGTAATAAATTGAATTTTGTGTTTATCATTTCTAATCAACGGAAGAATATAATTGATCAAAATTTTGAGATTGTATTTATCATGTACCCCTAGGTTTTATCTCCCATGTTTCATCTTTTTCTTTTTCCTCTCGTGTGTAGAAATATCAATGCCATTTTTGTTATGGAAGAATATTTAAGAAGTTAAATTTGTGTCAAATTTTTTTTAATCGTGCTTTAAAATGCATATGGCCCATTTCTTTTTTATGTTCATATTTTATGTAGTAGATTCTTATTTCTTAGATTCTTATATGCAAGTTATTTGTATATATTTTAGTGGTGTGTTATTGATATCATATGGTTCCCCGTGATTAATTAAATGGTATATAAATAGGGAGGTTTAAGAAATGAACTGAATATAAGATGTAGATTTTATGTTATATATTGTTGGGTTCGAGCTTTATCTAATATGGAGAAAGACTCAAATATGATTATTTTATTTGTTTGTTTTATTTAAGTGGAGATGATCAATTTAGAGTTGAGAGAGAGAGAGAGAATAAGAATTCAAAAGAGAGAAAAGAGGAGAAAAACTCATTCTCATTTTTCTTCAATCGGACTCACTAAATCAATGATCTCCGATTCGTTAACCGTCGAATCGAGCTCAAATTTGAAGGGCGGATACACAACACTTGTATCTAACTTTTGACCGTTCAGATTTTTTTTTAAAAAAAAGCCTGAGATGAGAGATATCTGCTTCGCATTGAAGCTGCAAATTTGGGTAATTTTTTCAGCTTTTTTATTCTTATTTCTAAGCTAGTTTGCTTTGTGATTTGCAGTTGTTAGCACTAGCTTGTGAATCACTTTAAGACTCTCTTATACCCTTAATTGATTATAGTGGAGTTATTTCTTTGGTATGGACGACTCGTGGTTTTTACTTTCATATTGAGGAGTTTTCCACGTAAAAATATTGGTGTTCTTTTGTGTCTTTATTTGTTTGATTTGTTGTCTTATATTTGTTATTGATCTTCAAGGTTCCTTCAAGTGTGAAAAATTTTATATCTATTGCGTATTGGTCTATTATTGTGTCTTAATTTCCCATCAGAGTGACATCAGAGCTCTTGGTTAATAGCTATTTTACTTGTTTGAATGATGAAGTCAAATGCAAAGATGGATATGGTATTGTTAAATGGTTCTAATTATCATTTATGGAAGGGCAAGATGAAAGACTTATTATTTGCGAATAAATTGAATTTACCGGTTTGTAGTTCTGCAAAGCTGGATTTTGTGTCTAATAAAGAATGGGAGTTTAAACATCAACAAGTATGTGATTTTATTCGACAATATGTAGAAGATAATGCTTATAATCATATTATTAATGAGACACGTGTAAAAACTTTTTGGGAGAAGATAGATTCCTTATATGCCTCTAAATCATAAAATAATAAAGTATTCTTTTTGAATAGCTTCATAAGTTTGAAGTATGAGGAGGGGACTTCTATTTCATATCACTTCAATGAATTTCAAGTGCTCCTTGATCGGTTGTCATTAATGAGTATCAAATTTGATGATGAACTTTTGGGACTATTTATATTGCTATCTTTACCAGAGTCTTGGGATATGTTTCAGGTTTCTATCACAAATTTTACTCCTAGAGGTGTTGTTTCTTTATAAATGGCTAAGAGTGGCATTCTTAATGAGGAGATGACATGAAAGACATGAGGTTCTTTATATCAATCCGAGGTAATTTTCACTAAAAATAGGGAGAGAAGTCATAAAAATGAATCGAAGGGTGGTAGAGAAAATAGCAGAAGCAAGTCCAAACTACAGTACAAGAATCTAGAGTATCATTATTGTCACAAAACATGACGCATACAAAAGTATTGTTATCAATGGAAAAGAGATACAATACAAGATAGGTAGGTGTCATACCTCAAATTTTGACCCCTACATTCCATTATCATTCTAGGTGCATCAAGCATATGTTATCTAACCCTAACCTCTTTCAAGTTAGTCTTTGTCAAGATGCAGATGAAGTAGGGTTTCACACTGTTAAAATCAAGAGTCATGTGGACTGATCAGTCAAGGTTTTGGATTGATCTTCTATATATCAAGTATTCACATCATAAAGAGGTTTATATCTTACCAGGAACAAGTGTTATTTAAGGTTGTTACCAAGAGAATTGAAGCAGTGTTGTGCAAAACCCTGATTAAGGTTTCTAGTTGAAAAAGTCAACTGTAGTTTGACTTTTGGTCTAAATGGGTTTCCAAAGCTTGAAATATGGTCCATTATATTTCTATGACTTATTGAAGTCCACTCAAGAAGTATGAAAGGTTCAAAGAAACCCAGAACACTAAGGATTGATCCTGAAGGTTTCAACTATTCGGTTCGTCTGTCTGGAAATTCAACTCTTTAACTTTTAAAGTTTTGACCCCAAATTGAAGCAATCAAGGTTTCCAACATCATTTTATGCCTAACTAGTAAGTTTGGTGAATATTTAATCAAGAATTGATGGATAACTTGTGAATCAAGAAATTAGGGTTTATAAAAAACCCTAATTACAAGCTTATTTGGAATGGTCATAACTCTCAAACCACACATCCAAATTTAGTGGTCCAAAGCTGATCGGAAATTTTAGAAATCCTAAAAAAGTGTCCTAGAGGGTTGATGTCAAAAATGCATAGATTTTGAGTTATGAGCTCATCAAGTTGTGAAGGATTTCCACGCTTAGAAAAATTTCTTGTTTATTGACTTGTAAGTCATGTTTTGCAGCCAACTTCATGAAGATTTTTGACCTAGTTCCCTTTAGAATCTGAACTTTGGACAAATATGAACATTGTAGATAATATTTGTGGATTTTTAAAAAGTACAAGATCATTTTCATAACCTTTGTGGTTAGGGAGAATCGAAGGGAGCAAGTTAAGGATTTTTCATGTTACAAAACCAAGTTCAGCACTTGCATTTTTATGCATAAACCACTCAAACCTCTTATAATCACTTGTTTAACTCATTCTTTGATGTTTAGGGACTTAATGGATGAGATTACAGTGGATTACCACGAGCAAAAATCAGAAATTGGATTATTGGATTTGTTTATTCAAGCAAGTGAATGCAAGTGGCAACGAGAGAGAAGCTTTTTGCATTTTCTGCTACACCTCAGCTACTACATCAGCTACTCTCTTTCCTTCACTTCAGTCAACTATTTGCAGGCTATTGGTGATGTTGAAACATGTAAGCGCTCTTGATTGGCTGCATTTTATGGCAAAACATTAGAGTTTGCGTGTATGTCATATTGAATGTTAAGACATACATAATGATGTGTGTGCAGGGTAAGTTAACTATAAGCTAAGCTGAATGTCATACAGAATGTCATGACACTGACCGTATGACATCCAGCGAGAAGGTTAGTTTTTCTGGTATCTAGAAATCAAGAAACAAATCAGGATCTCAAGCTGAAAGACAGGAGACATTTGAGAAGCCCTAAAGCGAAACAAATGCTCCTGAATTAAATGGCAAGCATGCAAATGATTGAAGAGTAGGGTTTGTTATGATTAAACCTAACTGTGTGCACCAAGGCCCAAAGGACTGACTGCTGCTATAAATATCAGAAGGAGAAATCGTAGAAGAGCAGCTTTTGACAGAAGAATAGAGAGTGCATATTACAGAGTCCTTGTGAGTGAAGAAGGTTGTTCTTCACGTGAGTATTGTGAGTGAAGAAAGTGTGTTCTTCACGTGTGAATTGGGTCTTAGGAATACTTTTTTATCAAGCAACTATCTACTGCATTGGTTAGGTAGATTCTAAGTTGTGTCTCACTCAAAGCTTTTAAGCAAGAGTGTATGTGTCCCTTGATCAAAGCTTTGAAGCAAGATCAAGGTGTGTATGAAGTGTTTCTTCATCTTTATTCTGTAACTGTAATTGGATATCACTGTGGTGTGATTGAGGGGGAGCGAGTGGGAATAATCAGGTCTAGAGTGTCTCTAGGTTGAAGTGTCATTGGGTAGGTTTTAAGTGAGGAGTGCAAACTGAGTTGTTTGACTCATAATTAATTCTACTGATAGTGAATTTCCTCCATGTCTTGGTAGCCCCC